AGTATTTATGGATGATTTTTCTATCACGGGTTAATAATTTGATGAGTGTTTGGGTAATCTTGAGAAGGTTCTAGTTAGGTGTGAGGAAACCCACTTAGCCTTGAGTTAAGAGAAATGCCAATTCTTGGTTAAGGAGGGAATTGTGTTGGGCCATAAGGTTTCCAGCAAGGGGGTAGAGGTTGACCGAGCTAAGATTGAGGCTATAGAGAAGCTTCCCCCACCAAACTCAGTCAAGGCCATTCAAAGCTTTTTGGGGCACGCAGGTTTTTAACGCAGGTTTATTAAGCACTTTACAAAAATAGGAAAGCCAATAACCGCCCTGCTTGAGAAAGGGGTAGAATTTAATTTCACCGATCAATGCTTGCAAGCCTTCAACACCTTGAAGGAACGATTAATTATTGCCCCCGTTCTTATAGCCCCTGTTTAGACTTTGCCTTTTGGATTAATGTTTAGCCCCGTTCTTGGCCAGAGGAAGGATAAAATCTTCCATCCCATCTACTACACTAGAGTAAGACCTTATCAGGAGCCCAACTCAATTACAAAATGACAGAGAAAGAATTTCTGGCAATTGTTTATGCCCTTGAAAAATTCAGGCCTTACATCATTCTTTCTCCGGTTATCGTTTACACCGATCATGCGGCGTTGCGATACCTATTGCAAAAGAATGATGCGAAGACTCGGATATTACGATGGGTGCTCTTGTTGCAGGAATTTGATGTGCAGGTCAAAGATTGAAAGGGATTAGCAAACCAAGATGCCGATCATCTTTCACGATTAGACGTGGATATAGCAGAACAGTTTGGCAAATGCGAGGCCAATGAATCCTTTCCATTTGAAAGGATTAGTTCCATCCAAGACAAGCAGCCATGGTATGCTGACATTGCCAACTTCCTAGCTAGCAGGGTCGATCCTACTCTGTTGACACCTCATCTAAGGAAGAAGCTAAATATGGAAGCCAATTTTTACTTTTAGGACGACCCTTATCTCTTTCGAATTTGTGCCGATCAAGTTGAAAGGGGTTGTGTAAGTGAAGCTGAGGGGCGGGAGATGCTGGCAGTCTGCCACACTGGCCCAGTAAGAGGCCATTTTCAGGAGCGAGAACTGCAAGGATGGTGTTGGATTCTTGCTTCTCTTGGCCAAAGCTCTTCAAGGATGCTAACCTTCTGTGATCGCTACCAACGGTCAGGGAATATATCTAAGAGAGACGAGATGGCGCAACATTACATGTTGCCTTTTGAAGTGTTTGATGTTTGGGGAATTGATTTTGTTGGACCATTCCCAAGTTCTTACGGCAACAAGTACATCCTCGTCATTATCAACTACGTCTCCAAACATTTTGAAGCACAAGCCTGCAAGACAGATGATGGGCAGACAGTGGTCCAATTCTTGAAGAAGTTGTTTTCTAGATTTGGGGTTCTAAGGCTGATTATAAGCGACAAAGGTACCCACTTCCGCAATAATCCCTTGTCCAAGGCATTGGAACGATATGGAGTCCAAGATAGATGAGGTGTGGCTTACCACCCTCAGACGTAGGGAAAGGTTGAAAATGTGAATAGGGACCTGAAGAGGATACTGGAAAAGACGGTTGCTCAAACGAGAAAATACTAGAGCGTAAAGCTTGATGATGCCTTATGGGCGTTTCTCATAGCATATAACTGTAACGCCCCAAAACATACCCTAGAATTATTAATGAATAAATAATCAATTAATCACAATTATTTCAATTAAAATAAATTATTGTTGGGCTTTGGGCCGATATTAAATTTGTTTTGACATCTAATATCAAAATCTGGATAAGTCTCATAGAGATAAATCCAATATGTGGACTATTTGTGTGGTCTTGATTGGGAACCTGAGTACAGACCCAAATCAAGAGTAAATAAAAAATTTGTTTAGAATGTGAATATTGAAATGATTTGTTGAAATAAATCATTCGAACAAATGATATGAATTAAATGTGAGAAACCTTTTTGAATAAAGATCAACTAAATCAATTTTTACTCTGTCAAAGTCAAACACCCAAAAATATGATGTCAGAAAAAGTATAACCAATAAATATAAAAATTATATCGTTGGATAGAGTTTAACTGTCCGATCGCAACGGTGCAAACGGAATTCAATTCGGAGAAAGTTGGACCAAAAAGTGTACCCCGACTCGAACCAAATTTGTCCCAATCAGGGAGTGGCATGTAAAATCCTACAAATCGCCGCTCACTCCACTCAGCCGATTACACAGGGAAAGGAAGCAACGTAAATTTGGCTCCTTCCCCATCACCATTCCTATATAAGAGAACCCAAGCTCCTTCATTTCTTCACCAAACCTCTACATTCTTTATTCTATTCTGTTCTTTGTTAAGAGAGGAGTACAGTGGTGCTATCAATTTGGTGAGAGGTCGCCGGAGCTAACCACAAACCTCGCCGGAAGTTTCCCCGGAAAATATCCAAAACCTTCGTTAAGCTTCGAGGTAAGCCCGTAGATATATCTAGTGACTAGAATGTTTATATAGATCGTTTCTACGTTCATAAACGGTCGTTTGGTTGAGTTTTGTGTTTGACATGCTTGAAGAACCAAGAATCATAAACCATGAAATTGATGTTAAAACTATAAATTAATGATGCCAAAATGATCCATGAACCTTGGAGAACATCTCTATATAGTTTCGTTGAAGTTCGGTAACTAAAAACGGTATTTTCGAAATTGGACCCGAACGAAGAAGAAGATGAACAGTAACCAAAACCAGACT